CCATGGAGCTAGTAGGTATGCATGTGCCCTTTGGTGAGGCCAGCAAGGCCCCCAAGGCAGGGTTGTTACCGGGAAACACAGATGGGCTTCAGAGTCCAGAAAGTTTGATGGCAAACTTGATTGGAGTTACAGCACCATCATTTAACTGTTTGACCTTGGGCAAATTACTAAATCTTTTTGGGGCCTCAGTTTTCCTTATCTGCAAAACTGGTGTACTGATGCCATAGAGTTGTTATAAAAAGTTGAATCTTTGTCATGTTACTGAATGCTTGAAATTTAGCTAAAAGTATCAGGAGATGGGCTATCTTCTGTGTTTAGTAATATCTGTACCTTGGCGTAAACAGAATTGGGACTCAGCAGGTTGACCTCCTTCCCTCTGGCTTCAGAAAGCCCCAGGATTTCTCATAAAGTAAGGCCATGTGTCATCTTGGAAGCTTGGATCTGATAAATAATTGAGCTGGAGCTCACAATTCTGCCCCTGTGTCGAGGTGGTTGGCCTGCTGCCCCCACAAGCTGACCTTCTTGGTCCTGTGGGCCTGTCGGTAAGGCAAACAGCCCTAGCCAGAGAGAAGCAGTCACCAGGCTGGGATCTTGGCCAATCCTTCCATCTCTGGTTCATCCTGGCGTAAGCATGGCATGGAGTAGATGGGAAATGGTGGCCATCTTGGAAATGTGTCATAACAATACACATAATAATGTGTCATTCCAAGACTGTCCCCTAAAGGAGAGATGTACAGTCCTGCATAGTCCCTTATAAAGAGTTTTTCAGACACCTCATTTAGTCTGCACCTAATCTTCTGAGGAGGGGCTTGCTGTGATCTTTGTTCTGCAGAGGCAGAAACAGGTTCTAAGTGGTAGTATAGTTCAGCTCAACACACATTTCATTTAACGTCCTCTGTGCAGGGATGAGCAAGGCCTTTGAAGAGCTTTGTCTTGAAGGGAAGACACAATCTCCATAAGGCGAGATGGAGTAGCAAAGAAGCATGAGAGGGTGTGGCTGAGCAGTGTAGGGGAAACTCAGCCCGGGGAATCAGGGCAAGACTCCCAGAAGAGGAGACAGACATCTCAGCTCCTTTGAGAGTCACTGTGGGTGACAGAGCTGGGCTCTGTTGCTCTCGACATTTGCAACATACTAGTCAGTGTTGTGGGGGCTTGGGGCTCATCCCAAGCAGGGAGCAGGTAAGCTGGACAGCATAAGGTATTTCCTCCTCTCCTTTCACTGTGAAAACAAAACAGCAGGAGGTCCTGGAACTTTTCTTCATGCCAGCAGTAGGGCTGGACCCAGGGCATATTAAATTTCAAGTTGGCAGACTAAGACTTTCAGACGGTTTCTTTTGTAGCAGGTAGGTTCCTTAATTGTAAATAATGCCCTGTGGTCTCTGCTCGACGCTTTGTGAGGTTGGCCAGAAGAGCTTCCCCTAATCAGGACTTTGAGCTCATGTTGCCAGAGCTGCCCAGTATCCTGAGGAAGGGTCAGTGGGCTGTGTCACAGCTGCTAGGAGGTTCTAGAAGACCAGTACTAGTGAGCCTTCCAGGTTGGGTCAGTGCCAAAGTCATTTTTGTGGGCCTGTGCGGCCTTACCTATACACCAATTCTTCCAAGGCCTAGGCTCCATGGCAGGAACGTGACATGGCTTATTGTTTGTTCTAGAGCCCTTTGGGGAATGGGGGCCGGGATCGTGCAGGCAGTCAAGCTTTGACAAACATCTGGATTTTCTCCAGAACTGCATTAAGAAAAGTGGTTCAAGCCGGGTGCAGTGGATCACGCCTGTAATCCCAGCACTTTGGGAGGCCAAGGTGGGTGGATCCCCCGAGGTCAGGCGTTCGAGACCAGCCTGACCAATATGGTGAAACTCCATCTCTTTAATAAAAAAAAAGGTTCCTTGTTGGAGATGGGAAGTCAGGGCCCTTGGTTATGCATTTAGCAAAGTCAAACAGATTGATAACACTTGTTAATGGCAGGGAAGGTTGCCTGTAGCCAGCACTGCAGATTCAGGACTTAGAAATGTGCCTTTGGGGCCAAGCACATATAATCTCAGCACTTTGGGAGTCCGAGGTGGGTGGATCACATGAGGTTACGAGTTTGAGACCAGACTGGCCAACATGAGGAAACCCTCTTCACTAAACATACAAAAATTAGCTGGGTGTGATGGGTATACCTGAGGTAGGATAATTGCTGGAACCTGGGAAGTGGAGGTTACAGTGAGCCAAGATCGTGCCACTGCACTCCAGCTTGGGCGACAGAGCAAAAGAAAATGTGCCTTTGGGACATTTGACAGTCCTTTGGGAAAGTCCTGTGTGCATTTATAGGACTGTCTTGCAGTCTAAACCCCCATTCCCCCAGTGCAGAATGACAAAAGCATTCGAGAACTAGAGTTTCTAGCTCCGGAACTGGGGCCTAGGAGGCTCCCGCTACTGGCAGGGGGAGCCCGGACCATGTCTCTTTGGCAGATGCTGAATCCAGGGTTCTGGCTTGCCCCAGGATAGTCCAGGGCCCTCTGACTTTTGTTAGAGTGCTTAGTAAAGATTCTAGAGTGTCATGTACCCTGGATTATCTGACTTAATTCCCGCAACAGCCCTGCAGGTACACCTCTCACCACCATCAACCGTGTAGTCCTGTACTACTGTAATTCTGCCTGGAAGGTAGAAGGCCCTGTCCCACTTTTTAAAATCATAATCTTCAGTAGCAGTAAAAAAATAGTTAAGTTACCAAGCAGAACAAAATACCCAAGAACCTACTGTTCTCCTTATTATAGATGAAGAAACTGTAAAACAGGTTTTTAGGTTCAGCATGTGATTTAACAAAGGTCACAAAGCTAGTAGGGGACAAAGCTCACCTTTGAACCCAAGTCTCTTCAACTCCCTAACTCCTTTGTGTTACTTTTTGTTGTGGGCTGACGGATATTAATAGGTATTATCTGAGAGAAGGTTCTTTGTTTAGTGCTCAGTTAAAGTCTGTGGGTTCTTTTGCTGTAGTAATTCTCATGCGCTTTACATATGTTAATGCTTTTTGAAACTAATCAGTATTTTACAAATTGATTTGACTAGACATTTGTCTACTGTCTCTTTTCTTTCTTTTCCTTTTTTTTTTTTGAGACAGAGTCTCACTCTGTCACCCACACTGGAGGGCAGTGGTGCGATCTCAGTTCACTGCAACTTCCATCTTCTGGGTTCAGCAATTCTCCTGCCTCAGCCTCCCCAGTAGCTGGGATTACAGGCATCTGCCATCATGCCCGGCTAATTTTTGTATTCGTGTAGAGACAGGGTTTCACTATGTTGGCCAGACCGGTCACAAACTCCTAACCGCAGGTGACCTGCCTACCTCGGCCTCCCAGAGTGCTGGGATTACAGGCATGAGCCACCACTGTAATCCCAGCACTTTGAGACACTCTGTCCACTGTCTCTTATGGGACTGGTGTTCACGGAGAAAATTTTGAAAAATTCTTGTCTAGGAGCAACTTGAGGGAGAGGGTGGAATCTATGAAATAAAGATTTGGACTGGGCACGGTGGCTCACACTTTGGGAGGCCGAGGCAGGCAAATCACAAGACCAGGAGTTCAAGACCAGCCTGGCCAACATAGTGAAACCCCATCTCTACTAAAAATACAAAAATTAGATGGATGTGGTGGTGTGCACCTGTAGTCCCAGCTACTCGGGAGGCTGAGGTAGAAGAATCGCTTGAAACTGGGAGGTAGAGGTTGCCGTAAGCCGAGATCATGCCACTGTACTCCAACCTGGGTGACAGAGTGAGACTCTGTCTCAAGTCAGATTTCCAAATCAGAGGTGCCTCCTTAAGGCTAAGCCTGAAGCAGTCTGGGTTTTTATCTCTTATTGGCTCTTGCGTCCAGTTATTAGATCCGAGGTTTGGCCAGCCTGGTCATCTTGAGGGATCCCTCCTAAGTTTGTGTCTGTACAACTAGCCCTTGGAAAGGGAGCTGATCAGCAGCCATGAGAGAAGGGTTTGTAGTCCCGGGGGAGGTAGGGAAACTAAGCCATACTCATCCCATTGGGCCTGTGGCTGAGTGAGTTTCTGGGTGTGTAGAACTGCTGCAGCTCAGTAGAGAAACTTGCAATGGGTGTGGCTTATGGTTGCCATGCTCCCAGTGAGCATGTGAGGGGCTTAGGAAGCTCAGAGTTTCAAATTGGAATGACGCTAACTGAGAAGGGGATAGTCATATACCCACATTAGTTGGTCTTCAAGCAGTTTTAAAAGTCATGTAACTTGTTGAAAATAAATGGATATCTGAGTATGATGGAAATTTTTTTTTTTTTTTTTTCAATTGAGACAGAGTCTCGCTCTGTTGCCCAGGCTGTGGCATGATCTCAGCTCACTGCAGCCTCTGCCTCGTGGGTTCAAGTGATTCTCCTGCCTCATCCTCCTGAGTAGCTGGGATTACAGGCGCCCGCCACCACACCTGGCTAATTTTTGTATTTTTAGTAGAGATGGGATTTCACCATGTTGGCCAGACTGGTCTCAAACTCCTGACTTTAGCTGACCACCCACCTTGGCCTGCCAAAGTGCTGGGGTTACAGGCATGAACCACCACGCCCAGCCAGGAATTCTTAAAATAATAAAACACAGCTGACTTCAATATTTTGGATCCCCCTAAATGGAGGCTTCAAGTAGATAGTCTCTTTTGAAATTAGGCAGTCCTAGTTCTCCCTGGTGACTCAGTGCTGTCTGTGGCTGCCTTGGCTTTCTCTATCTTCTAAAGGTATGGAGAATGAGGAGAGGAGATGCAATGACTCTCTGAAGTACCCTTTTAGAAAGGGCTCCTGGCCTGTTCAGGGAGAATCTTATTTGAGGCCTCTGTCTTAAGTGGCCAAAGAGGTCTCCTTTGCTTCATACCAGGTTTTTCCTTGAGTATTACAGTTTCTAGGCAAAGCATCCTGAAGCTTAATATGATATTCCCTTCCATGTAGGTCCTTGAACCTCTCAAGTGATGGGTAGAGAGCAGTCATAAGACCTAGGTCACATTCTTGTCCTGTTATATTCCCCAGGAACTCCGGTTGTCTGTCTACTCTTCATGGTCACATGTTCTGTGTTTCTTTTCAGTGGATATGCTGCTGATGAAATCACTCACTGCATACGGCCTCAGGACATCAAGGAGCGCCGAGCGGTCATCATCCTCAGGAAGTAAGTGCCTTGATGTCTTGACCTTCTGCCTCACCTGCAGGCCTGTCTGGAGAGGTAGCTCTGGGTCCACTTAGAACTCAGCTCTTATGTATCAGTGGCATGGCAGAGTGAAGAGCAGAGCTGTTAAGTTCTCTTACTTTTTATTTGAATCCTGTGAGGATAAAGTTGTTTTGTCTTTTTATCAGAAAATTAAGCTGTCTGGCTATTTAGGGCGTTTAGGACTGAGCAAAAGCATATGATCCCACTATTTGTGACAAGATTAGGGCAGCATTCTTCCAAACCCCACCACACCCTTTAACCTCTATTCCTTACCTCCTTGGTTCTTGTCACACGTACTCTTGGTGATTATTTTTAGACTGTGCTTTTAGCAGCCTGCTTTAAAAATGCCTGGGTTTTCACTGCTGAGAGGAACAGGGAGTAAAGAGAAGAGACAAGGGTGAAAGGTTAGGATGCAGTATTCAGCAGAGTCATGGCTTGTGGCTCTTCTGGGGAGGGAATCAGGGATGCACTAATTAACATTAACAAGGTTGGCTTTACCAGCATTTCTTTCTTTCACGGGGTGAGTGGAAGAGGCCATAGCCCCACAGACATTGAATCAAGACAAGTATGCCCCCACACCCCGCTTTTTTTTTTTTTTTTTTTTCCTTTTAAAGGTCTTACTCTTGCTCAGGCTGGAATGCATTGGTGCCGTCTTAGCTCACTGAATCCTTAAAATCCTGGACTCAAGCTATCTTCCCACTTCAGCCTCCCGAATAGCTGTGACTACAGGCGTGTGCCACCATATCTGGCTCAAGCCTGCCTTTTAAATAGAGTCCCAGAGAGGATAGGTGATTACCCAGAGTCACAGAAGTCAGTGAGCAGAGCAAAACAAGGATGTAGACTTAAGCTTGACCAGTATAACTTGCTTTCTTCTTTCTCTTCCTCTTCCCTTCTTTTTATTATACTTTATTGTTTTAGAATAGTGTTAGATTTATAGATAATTGTGATAGTACAGAGGTCCCATGTATTCTGCATCCCATTTCCTCTATTTGTTAATTTTTCATTGGTTTGATGTTTATTACAATCAAGAATCTAATATTGATATGTAATGAACTACAGTTTATACTTTAGTTTTCCTTATGTTTCCTTATGTTTCTCCTAACGTCCTTTTTCTGTCCCAAGATCACATATTACATTTAGTTGACATACCATCTTAGGCCCCTCTTGGCTGTGATAGTTTCCCAGACTTTGCCTTTTTTTTTTTTTTTTTTTGAGACAGGGTCTCACTCTCTTGCCCAGGCTAAAGTGCAGTGGCACCATCTCAGCTCACTGCAACCATCACCTCCCGGGTTTAAGTGATTCTCGTGCCTCAGACTCCTGAATAGCTGGGATTGTATGCATGTGCCACAATACCCAGCTAATATTTTTTTGTAGAGATGGGGTTTCCAACCATGTTATTCGCTAACTTCTAACCTCTAGTGATCTGCCTGTCTTGGCCTCCCAGAGTGCTGGGATTACAGGTATGAGCCACCACACCCGGCCTGCCTTATTCTTGATGATATTGACTGGTTAGGTGTTGTATCGAACCTCTCTCAGGATTTGTCTGATGTTTTTATGGTAAAGTTTGTGCCATTTTTACTATATACCAAGGATACATACTATCAATATAACTTACTGTTGATACTGATCACCTGGCTGATGCAGTGTTTGTCAGGTTTTCCACTGTAAAATTACTGTTTTTCCCTGTCCATACTGTACCCTTAGGAAGGAAGTCATCATTCATGCCCACAGTTAAAAGAGTGGGGGTAGGCCGGGTGCGGTGGCTTATGCCTGTAATCCCAGCACTTTGGGAGGCTGAGGCAGGCGGATTACGTGAGGTCCAGAGTTTGAGAGCAGCCTGACCAACATGGCGAAACCCTGTCTCAAAAAAAAAAAAAAAAAAAGAGTGGGGGAGTTAGCACCGTCTCCTTGAAGGGGAACATCCGTGTGAATTATTTGGAATTCTTCTGCAGACGGGATTGGTCCACTCTCCCTCATTTATTCAGTAATTTATATATAAATACGGACTCCTGGGAATTTATTTATTTATTTATTTATTTATTTTATTTATTTATTTTATGCCCAAGTTGTTCCCGCTTTGGTCATTGGGAGCTCTTTAAGTTTTTTCTGGCTCATCAACCTTAGTAAACAATAACTTTGGCATCCTGGCCTCTGGGCCCGTAACTCAAATAATGTAATGATGAAGTCTTTTTGGTGTGGCTTTGCCACTTTGTCAGGTCAAAACTTTTAGTCTGTGTTTTAACTGTAGTAGATGGGTATGATTCAGACCTGTAGGACAGTCCTATGGGAGCTCCAGAAACTTGGATCACCTTGGTGGTTGGCAGCCTCTTATCTAGCCTAAGAATATTCCCATAATTGATCAGAGGAAGGGAATGGCTTTTATCTGCCTTATACTTTATTTTTCTGTGATTCTCAGCATAGGCCAGAACTCAGAAATAATGGAGTCCAGACTGTAGCACTCTTCCAGCCTCTCCTCCCTGGTCATTTCTTCACAGGCTGTACCTCGTGCGTCCAACTGCAGCCAGGGATGGGTGGGCCTGCCCAGGCCAGGAACCTGAAGAGGAAATTCTAATGTTATATAGAACCAGAGCAGTAACTTCCCAAGTGTTCCTCTCAGCCTCCCAAAATAGCTTATTTTGGGGAAATCTTAGCTGGATGTGCAGGTGGTAGTGGCCATAGCTAGAGTGTCAGTCTTCCAGCAGCTACTTTTTTTTTTTTTTTTTTTTTTTTTTTTTTTTTTGAGATGGAGTTTCACTCTCACCCAGACTGCAGTGCAGTGGCGTGATCTCAGCTCACTGCAACCTCTGACTCCCAGGTTCAGGTGATTCTCTTGCCTCAGCCTCCCGCGTAGCTGGGATTACAGGTGACCACCACAACGTCCGGCTAATTTTTTTTTTTTTTTTTTTAATAGAGGTGGGGTTTCTCCAGATTGGCCACGCTGGTCTCAAACTTACGTAATCTGCCCGCCTTGACCTCCCATAGTGCTGGGATTACAGGTGTGAGCCACTGCACTCAGCCTACTTTTTTCTTGAATGGTGACTCCCATACCTGGCTGCCCAGTCCAGCTGAGTCAGATGTTCCTCGGCACAGCTAGGAGTCTGTACCATTAATCAGCTCCCTAGGAAGCTTTTTGATCAGCTGGGCCCCTGGCAGTGGCCTGACCTTGGGAATGGCTGTTGTTGGGTGACTGAGGCTCTTTTACCTTCTGACTTGAGTGGGCCCAGCAGTCATTCACAGACTGGGCTGGAAGGCAGAAGCACAGAGCTTTGGTGTAAGGGAACTGGAGAAGAAGGGGAGGATGTCCCAGCTTCCCCAGGCAGCTGAGCTGGGGAAGTACACAGCTGTGGGGAGCTCTAAAGTATCTACACCTTCTATTATGGTTCATGGACTTTTGTCCTGGACTTTTGTGGCAGTGTGGCCTCCGTTGGGAGTACCTTCTCATCTAACAAGTTCATCTTCTGATTCATACTTCAACTTCCCAAATGACCTACATGATAACCAACTCCTCAAATAACCTGGTCATTCTTCATGGCTTAGGTTGACCATTTTGACATGCAGAAAGCATCATATACACACCTAAAGCCCTTTTAGCACACACCCACACACATCCCTGTTTGGACTGTCACAGCTCATACACTTGCTTGCCATTGTGAATTTTAAAATCTGCGTTCTGTAGGAGTAAGGAGATCCCAGTTCATCGGGGGCCTAGCATTAGGTGCAGCCCAGAAGAGGCATCAGCTAGTATGGAGAACAATTCAGGGCAGTGAGGAGCAGCTCCAGAGTAGCAGCTACACGGGCTTGTCTTGGGAAAGCACAGGTTGTGACAAGTTAAAAAGGGGGAGCATTGGCCAGGCCCGGTGGCTCACACCCGTAATTCCAGCACTTTGGGAGGCCGAGGCAAGTGGATTACAAGGTCAAGAGATTGAGACCATCCTGGCCAACATGGAAACTCCGTCTTTACTAAAAATACAAAAACTAGCTGGGTGTGGTGGCATGCACCTGTAGTCCCAGCTACGCGGGAGGCTGAGGCAGGAGAATCGCTTGAACCCAGGAGATGGAGGTTACAGTGAGTTGTGATCATACCACTGCACTCCAGCCTGGCGACAGAGCAAGACTCTGCCTCAAAAAAAAAAGGGGGGGGCTGGGGGAGCATCTTGGCCCAGGCATTGCCCAAAGATAAGTAGGATGTAGCCTTGGAAGGTGCCTGGCTGATTTGATGTCTTCTGGTGAGGTTGTGTTACGGTGGGTAGAATCTGGGCATTGAGCCTGGCCCTGCTTATGGTAGAGAAGTTAGAGCCAGTCTTGCCTTCTTATAAGTTCAGATAAAGATTGCACAGGCTGCTGGGAGAGACCCTGGGGGCTCTGTCACCAGCTCAGGTCAGTCAGAGCTGGCAAGGTCTTTCTGAGGGTCTCATGGAACAAAATGGGTGGGCAGCTGCCAAGTGCTTTCTGGTTGGACAAAATGCAGCTCCTGTGAACATAGGTAGTGCCAAGTCTTCGTGCACATATGTGTGCCCTTATTTCTCACAGGGACGCTGGAGGTGACTTTTTTTTTTTTTTTTTTTTTTTTTTTTTTTTTTTGAGATAGTCTCTTGCTCTGTCACCCATAAGGGAGTGTAGTGATCTTGGTTCACTGCAGCCTCCACCTCCTGGGTTCAAGCATTTCTCTGCCTCACCCTCCCGAGTAGCTGGGATTACAGGTGCCCACCACCAAACCCGGTAAATTTAGTAGAGATGGGATTTCACCATGTTGGCCAGGGTGGTCTTGAACTCCTGACCTCATGATCCACCCGCTTCAGCCTCCCAATGTACTGGGATTATGGGATTACAGGCGTGCCTGCCAGAAATGACTTTTTTTAATTCTAGTTTTTTTTTTTTTAAAGACAAAATATTCTCTGTCACCCAGGCTGGAGTGCAGTGGCATGATCTCGGCTAACTGCAACCTCCGCCTCGTGGGTTTA